GCGGTTGTCTCCAACAGGTCTAGGTTGCTGGGAACACAGTGCAGGAACAATACTCTCTAGGCAGTTTTGGTGCTCTTGCTTTTTAGGAGCCATTAGGTGAAAGCCCACAGATTACTCAGTGGATTATTCTGTATTGCAGATAAGTCCTGAATTTACTATATGAAACTTTAAAGACCCCAGATTTTAGGTTCCATTTCTCTTGGCTGAAGCAAGACAGGTCTTTGAATTTGATCTCATTATATTGTTTGCATGAGCTAGGTAGCCATAGTTAATAAAGCAAGCTATCTTTGCCACCCTCAAAGAACTTCCCTGTTATGATTCATTGACCTTTCTCTATGGATTTCTTTTAGAACATGAATCTTCAGGGAAATTTTATATTTGGGCTGGATGCTTTGGGCTCTTATCCTGACTTCTAGGCTCTCCTAAATCAAAATAGTTATTTTGGTGGAGAAGTTAAAAAAAAAAACTTAAATTTTATAGCAGTCGCCTTTAAATAATCATGTATTTCTGAGATATGTTAAGTAAGCTTTGATGGTTAATGTATTGATTCATTTTAAAGGTAGATTTATTCCAAAAATTCTGCCTTAAAGTATTGTATTGTTAATAATACCCCTTCTTTATCAATCAACATGCTGCAGATATATGACATCTATCAACATAGCAGATCTATGACATGTGACAGATAATTAAACTCACTAATGCCAGCGCTGTGCATTAAAACTTATTAAACCCCAAAGGAGGTTGGAAGTGTCATAAAGTGTTCCTATTGACGTTCAAAAACTTTGTCCATGAAGTATGAACCAAGATTGAACTGAAAAGAGAGAAACTTTACAGAGAGTTTTCTTTTTTGTCAGCATTCTTTGATAAATACTTTAAATTACTATGGTAGTTAGTGACAGTGAGCAGAGGACTCTGTATCACCTGAAATATTCTAGATAACTCTCAGTATAAACAGTGTACATGGCCATCAAGCCAGCTTTCTTACTTAATGCCATGGTTTGCAAAGGTATTAAGTTAACTGTGTTACCTTATGGATTTAGTTAAAATTTTTTAAAATGATCTTGTTACCTTTAACTAATGAATGAGTTAGAGAAAGTTGACTATTCTGCATTTTCTAATCAGGTTCATAGTATTTTCAGTTCTGATTAGCATTATTTGAATCCTTTGACTATTTTAATTACATTTTTCTTAAAATATTTATGAAATGCTAATAAACTATTAAGTGAACAAGTAATACAATATGTGATAATTTTTACACCATTCCTATATTGCATAAGATTTTAATACAAACTTACTGTATTCTTGATATTTTACATGTTTCTTTTACCTTCTGGTAAATGTGTAGACGATATTTTGAGAAGCATGTTTCATATTCACTTTAACAACTTATTCTTGACAGTATGTGCCCTATCTTACGTATCAACTGGAAGGATCTTAAAAATTTTTGAAAAGGATGAGTCTAGGAAAAAAAAATTCATGTTCTAGTTTGTTTGTTTTACAAATATTATGGAGATTTAAGGCTTAGTTTTTAGTACCAAACCGAGGGATTGTGTTGTTTGCTGACTTTTACCACACATCCTGCTAATTAGGGTAGAATAATCAGGGCAGCTTCCAAACATTATATCATGTACATCAAATCTTACTAACATTATAGGCCACATAGGTAGCAATAATAAATTAAATATGGTTCTGTGTGTTGTTATATAACAGTATCACATCTTTTTCAGAGTGTTTGGCTTGCTATCACTTGTGTCTAAATATGGGAAGACCATTTTTTCCAATGTGCTGCAGTGAACCTCCAGTGGATAGTAGTTTTTATCGAATACTTTAACAGCATTTATGACACTTTGGCCTTCTGCCTTTTTTATTTTATCCTGTTTATTGGTCTCACTGGAATAAATCTCAGGGACTTAAAATAAGCAAGTAGATAATTTCCTATTTACTTTTGTTTTAATACACTCTTTCTTAGCTGGTAATAATCTAAAAACCTTTGTAAAATTTCATGGACTACCTCTATATACTAATTACTATCTGCCTATCTATAATAAAATCTGATAAGCAGATTGCAAATACTGGCTTAAACAAATATGCTCATCACAAAATATTTAATTTGAAATAAAAATAAAACTCAAAACCACATTTTTATCTATTAGATTTAGAAATCAATGTATAGGTGTATCTTAAAAATATTTTTGTAAATAAATCATATCACCAATTTCTTTTTAATTCTAAATTTATAGCATTCTTAACTCCTCAAATTAGTTTTTTTGTCATGTGTTTTCTCAAAAAATACATATTTCATTGTTAGGGTTGTATAACATTTCTGAAAAATATTGTCATCTGTGTACATCTTTATTTACAGCTATGATGGCATATTATTACTGATAATTTACAAAGCTTGCAAACTACTCTCTACAACAACCCTGCAAGATGAGGATTGGCTTCATTTTACAGATAGATTGAAGCACAAGTTTGTTATCTTTCCCATGGGTATATGACTGATAAATGTTAGAGCGAGAATTTAACCTCAGATTTGGCTTGCCTGAAACCACGTACTCTTCAGTACATTATTGGGTGCCTCAAATCAGGAGGACATGTGCGTTCGCACTAAGTTGCTTCAGTCGTGTCTGACTCTTTGCGACCCTGTGGGCTGTAGCCCACTAGGGTCCTCTGTCCATGGAATTCTCCAGGCAAGAACACTGGGATGGGTTGATGGGTTGCCATTTCTTCCTTCAGGTTTATTGAAGTATTTAAAAGTCCAGTGTAGAGTCATTTGGTCTTGGAAGAAAGAAGCTGCCTGATATAGGTGTGAGATGGTAGGGGTAGAGACTGGGAAGAGAGGGAAGAAATGCAGATAACCCTTTAGAATCCTTTCAGCACTTTGATTTTGTATTTCTAAAATCTGCCTCTGTGCAAATTATTATCATGCCTCTAGCCCTTACCTCAAATAAATACCCTTGGATTCAGTTTATTATAATATGGGTTAGAAATTCAAGTCAAGTATTTAAGAATCAACTAATATTCAGATTTTTAAAAAACAAGCAAAAATAGTATTTCAGACACCAAGGCAACTCTGGAAGAAAGATGATTTTAAAAAATACTAAAAATATTATAGTGATAATAGTAATAATAAATACTTAGTGAATGCTTACTTTATGACATTTGTTTTAAGGTATATTAACTATGTATAATATATATTAACTAATTCAATTCTCATAATAATCCAGTGAGATACTTTTCCTCATTTTTCAGATGAAGAATAGAGTCATTTGCCTAAAGACATTGTAAACAGTAGCTGAGTTAGGATTTGAACTCAGGTAATCTGGTTTCAGGATAATGACTGTTATTAGCAATGTTATTAAAATAAATGATATGGTAACTGATCTCTTTTTCAACTACTATAAAAGCAGTATGAAGAAAAAAATTGTATCAAATAAAAGTTAAGAACTCAAGAAGGAAAGTAAATCTTCAATGGGTCCTTTAGAACTTTAGTTTATTTAAAGATATGAGCAAAATAATTTTCATTTTTCAAGAAATAATATTTTATTTCAGGAATACAATACTCATTATTTATTCCAAATGGAATAATAAGATAGTATGTTTGTGAATTGGCTAAGATTTTCCTCTTTGTTGGTCTCTCATGAGTCTTTATAGTTTCTAATAAGTAGACCAATTTCTAATAAGTAGAACTATAAAAGTTTAGGCTATGTAAGCTTGTTTTAAACATCATGAACTGAAAGGATTTCAGCTTTTGTTCAAAATTATCAATGTTTCAGTTATATATTTGTTATATGGCTTCTTCATACAACAGAAATGCAATATATCTGGTAAAGTAAAATTATTTTGAATTAGAAAAAAAGCATTTCCACCAATAAAATGTACATTTTAAAAGAAAGGCAATATTTGTAGAATTAATTAGAAACTTGTTACATTTCTGAAGAATTAGCTAGTCTGTCATTTGGCCAGTAATAATGGTTAGAACCTTTGAATGAGATTGCTAAAATGAAAAGTTTTAATAGTTGTTTTGATGTTTATTTAGGGTGCAAGATTTACTAAAATTCTTATGTAGAGTACATGGTAGGTCTAATCATTGGTTATTTACACTTAAAGATCAAGTTTTTGGTTTGTTTTTGTTTTTTTTGGTAACAGTTTTTGTATTAAAGTTGGACATCCTCTTTTATTTTTTAGGAACTTTTAATTTTATATTGGAGTATGACATTTGTTCTAAGGTATATTAACCTCGTAGTTAACAATGTTGTGATAGTTTCAGATGCACAGCGGAGAAACTCGGCCAGACATATACACGTATCCATTCTTCCTCAAATTCCCCTCCCATTCAGGCTATGTTATATGCTTTGTTTTATTGTTAACTTCAAAATGTAAATTTTTTTTTCCTTAGAAAGGAGCAATTTCCACAAAAAGGGAGATAGGACATGTAAAAGAGAAAAAATGAAAGTATTTCTTTTCTACTTATGTGGTTTATTTTGAGTATCAGTTACCTATGTGTAAATTGTGAAATAATTTTTCTCTCATAGTTTAAAAATGCATATTTTTATGAATGTACTTTTATTTTATGGTCTAAACTTTCAAATAAGGCTATAAAAGGGAGTGACTACTTCTACATTAGAAATTATTTTCAATAACTTAATCCATACCTTATTATGGAAAAACTCATTGACCCTGTTTGTGAAGACCAACTCTACAAAACTCATTTCTGTGTCTGCAGTGATAAATGGTCATACATTTTCTCCCCAGACACACTGCTCCCTCTCTTCCCATCCCAACACTGCCTTCTGAACAAGTCCTAGGTTTACTTTGTTGGGCAAGACACAGTTGTAACCCTTGTTTTTGACTGCCCCTTCCACCCTGTGTCTCTGTTTTACATGTTATTTTCCTCTTGCCTCAGTTACCTCATATGCTCTTGCTTTCTCCTGTATCTATTCACATTTGCTCAGATACGCTCCCAGTGGTTTTCAAGCATGGCTACCCATTAGAATCACCTAACATTCTCTATCATTTCTCCCCGCACCGCACCCCTTCCCCCAAAAAACCAAATACCCAGGCTAAAATAAGAATCTCTGTCATTTTTACAAACAGATAAGCAAAAAACAGATGCCTAGTGCATCGACATTTTTAAGAAGCGTCCCAGATAATTCTAATAATTAGCCAGGGAAAGTCATAAAGATATGCTATCCTATTATTCCATTTGGAATAAACAATGAATATTATATACCTAAAATAAAATCTTAATTCTTTTTTGAGAAATAAAATTTATTTTGCTCAGGGATTAGCCATTACATGAAATGATGAAATATTTGTTTCAGGAGTCATTAGACAGGGTGAAAAGAAGATATTTTGGGCCTGGGTGCTTTTCCTGTATGCTTAAACTCACATTTACATAGAAAGTGCTTCATGAGCTTATCCATAAAGCTAACCATGGTATGCCTGGTAACCTAGTGAGGAGAGACGGAGTAAAAGTGTGTGTCTGTAGAATTTGCTTCATTTGTGTTTATCATCCCTAAGTAGGTGGTGTTAGAAAAACAAGAAGTAAAATTTATCTATACCTTCTCCTAAAAGCTACTAATTCTCTTAATTTGACATTTTGAATAGCATAAACTATTCTGACTTAGTCTTTTCCTACCTAGTGTTTGCAAAAAATCAATGCATTATATAGTAGGAATTAATGCTAGTTTTGATAGCTTACCCATTACTCAAGTACCTTTGTAGAAGGAAAACAAAAAAACACCTTTTTTGGGTAGATCAATAAATAACATCCAGAGCTTGATTAAATCTGAGCACAGGCTCTGGCATTTAGATTAGGTGTTGTCTGAAACTTGCATGGATTAATCAATTTTTGCCTTTTAAAGATCTTACACTGAGATGCACCATAGTGGATCAAATATTTTTAATTAACTGAAATGAAAGCAGTATCCATCACCTACCTATGGTTTTGGAAATTGTTTTGCTGTTTGGTTGAATTAAGTTTGTTCAGACTATCTGATGGAACCCTTTCAGACTGGTTCTTGAGGAATTAAGCCCATCCGAGGTGTCTTTAAAATCTGTATTACTTTGGATTAAGTAAGATTTTTATAGAAAAATTAATTATATGTTGGGAAAGTAAGGTACTGGGAAATACTTCTGAGTTCTGTAAGTCATGTAATTTTGTTGAGTCACTATTTCTCCACCAGTAGTTTGGGTATAATAATGATTGCCCTGTACATACTTTAGAGGGATTTGGAGAAGGAAGATTTTGCTATAAATATATTAAAATTCAAGTAAATCTTTGTTGAAATATTTTAATAAAATGTATAATAAAGGTAGTTAATTCAAGCAATAAAAATTGTTAATATTATTAACAAACCAGCAGTCACAAATGGTGTATTGTGCCGCCAGAGTGCTTTATAATACCTTTTCTGCATAATTTTGAAGACATATTTTAATGAGTCACTTATGTCTATTTCTTCTATGAGGCTTAACTGATCTTGAGGGAAGGTTCTGTATTTGTCTTTGTATTGGGTCTAATATAGCCCTTGGCACATAATAGGTTCAATAAATGTTCACTCAGTGAGTATTTTTCTTATATATCTAGAATAAAAATGTTAATCACTTAAAAAATCATTATATCTGTACTTTTTTATTTTTGGGGAGAATACTATTAGAAAACATAATTTCATTATCTCTGAAGTTATGCAAATACACATTTAAGAGAAGATTCAGTACTTTTGAAAATTCCCATTGGATTGGAAAGTGAGTTATGTTAAGTTGGAGTGACCTGGAAGAGCACTCATCACCGTGTTACAGTAGGTGGAGAGAAGTATCAAGGAAAGATCATGGGTTTTGAAGCTGGGCAGATCTGGATTTGAATCTGCCACTTTCAAGACAGATGATCTTGGGGAAATTTCTTAATGTGTCAGTTTCAATTTCTTTATTTGTGAAAAGGGGATAATACTATTTACTTCATAGACTGTAATGAGTAAGTAGCATCCTTGGTAAAGCATCTGATATAATGTCTGGACCTAGCAGGGGCTATATTAGCTGTTATTGATAAGCTAGCAAAAGGATTCTTTTCAGCTAGAAAATAATCTAAAGATGTGCTTTTCTTTTTCAAAGGCAGACTTTTCAATTGAATAGGAATTCCTGCCTTTTTACTTTTTCTTTTACTTTAATTTGCTGTAAGATAATTTTGAAAGGTTTTCAAATGAAGCATTATGAAAGATTGCATAGAATATATTTTACTCCTTGCTCACAAGGGATCTTGTACTATCAGAGGATTACAAGGTGAAGCTAAGCTGGTGGTTTTCATTCTAACCTCTGTTAGTCCCTGTCACCACACTACCACACAATTTGGAGCGTTTGCCAGTGTTGGCTCAAGAGAGGCCAATCGAGACACTAATAGATGCATTTTCTCCATGAGTACACCCTTGGATCACACATAGAATTCCTATTAATAGCAATGAGAGTTAAACTTGTAAATCCCTTATGCACTGATGGGAGAATAGACCTTTTAGTTTACTTAGCCATCTTCCAGTTATTTGGCACTTTCCCCATCCCTTGTGAGTTCTCCAACATTTTCATTAAAGGCTTTTCTATTTTCTATTCTGCCTCATTCAGTTTGGGTTGTAATTCACATTGGCCTGATGCCTTGGCAGCAGTGAATAATTCTAATTGCCTCACTATCTATCTAGTCTGGCCTAATCATAAAGCCTTTCAACTTTTCATTCAGGCTTCCAGCAGTATCAACTTCATGGGTCACAAACTTCCCACTCATATCCTTTCATTGCATTTTAGCTGCTTACCTCTTATGTTTTTAAGAAACTCCAGAGAGTTCATCATTATTTCATTCCTTTTCTGTTATACCATCTTACCCTTTCTGTAAAACTGAAGCAAGCACTGCAGAAACCTAAAGATGCAAGACGACTTTTGTCCAGACATTGTATCAGACGAGCTAGATACCCTAGTTCTCATTTATTTTAGTCAGTTATAGTAAAGGGTTAGAAACTAGAAAGAAAGTTTTAAGTATTCTTCCATGTCTGTTCTGTCACCTCTTTATAGTCAGCTCCACTTCGTTGTCTACCTACTTTAATACACATTTTTCTTTTCTGATCCTAAAGGATAGATATAGTATGAGAACCATAATTACTGAAAACAAAGGTCTTGCTTTGAACTCTTGTGATTTTTTGGCAGACAGGGAGTCTTCTCCGAATCTCTATATAGTAAGGGTGTTGTGTTTTGATTTTGTATAGCAATGCTTATTGTTTATCTTAGAAATTTTATGGGGCCTTTCTCATATGGAAAAAATGTGTTTTAAAGAACCTCAAAAAATTTAAAAGGGAAGAAATACACATTCATTTATTATGAAATATTTTATTTTTCTTTATTACTTTTCTTTTAAAAAACATTCTAAACATTTAAAATCTTTTGTTATGGAAAATTTTAAATATTTCAAATATAAAGTGGTATGTAATGAATTTCCATTTATTTACTGATTGATATAGAGGCTTTAACAGATTCAGGTTGGAGTTTTGTGTTAAGACTAGTACTTTTTTTTAAAATTAGAAAAAAATTTTAACTGTGTATATTGTCTTTTTAAAATACTTATTTGTCTGTGCCAGGTCCTAGTTGTGGCATATGTGATTTTTTAGTTGCATGGCATATGTGATACTAGATCCCATATGTGGGATCTAGTTCTCTGACCGGGGATTGAACCCGAATTCCCTGCTTTGGGAGCGCAGGATCTTAGCCACTGGACCATCAGGGAAATCCTTGGACTAGTATTTTAAATGTGATATTGTATACATCAGTAATGTCTGTTTGTCTCTCTTCTGTTAGTCAAAAGACATGTCTTCTTGTGTCTATAAGCCAAAATGATTATTGCTTAGAACCATTAATTCATTGTTGTTGTTCAGTTGCTAAGTCGTGTCCAGCTATTTGCAACCCCATGGATTATAGCATGCCACGCTCTTCTTTCCTCCACTATCTCTTAAAGTTTTCTCAAATTCATGTCCATTGAGTTGGTGATGCTATCTAACCACATCCTATGCTGTTCCCTTTTCTTTTTCCTCCCTCTTTCCCAGCATCAGGGTCTTTTCCAGTGAGTTGACTCTATGCAGGTGGCCAGACTGTTGGAGCTTCAGCTTTATCATCAGGCCTTCCAATGAATATTCAGGATTGGTTTCCTTTAGGATTGACTGATTTGATTTCCAGGGAGTCTAAAGGACTAATTCACTAGAGTTTACACAATGAGATTTAAAAATTCATATCATTCTTTCATTTATTACATAGAATACATATTAAAGTATTACTCTCCCTTGTTTGGTTCAGTTCAGTTGCTTAGTCATGTCCAACTCTGCCAACCCATGGACTGCAGCACGCCAGGCTTTCCTGTCCATCACCAACTCCCTGGGCTTGCTCAAACTCATGTCCATTAAGTTGGTGATGCCATCCAACTGTCTCATCCTCTGTCGTTCCCTTCTCCTTGTTTGGTTAGAACAAGGTAAATGAATCCTCTTTCTTTACCTTGGCTGAGTCCCTTTCCTATTTAGCCGAAACTATTACAACATTGTTAATCAGCTATAGCCCAGTACGAAATAAAAAGTTTAAAAAAAGGAAAAAATGAATTGATTCATCAGTACTTTCCAAAGGTGACCAGGGAGTTGTTTTATCATTATAAACACATGGATTTAAACTTGTTGATGTGTTATAGTCCATTCTAGTTACTATCAATTTGTCCCGTCTCTGGTCTATGAATGGCTTATTCAGTATAAATCTTGAGTGCTTTTGAAAGAACTCCTGTAACCTTTGATAACATCTGTTCCTTTCTTGTATAGCAAGATATTTTAGTTTCATCTTGATTTTTAAATGGTTCATCTAAATTCTGTTTCCACCCCTTACATGGAGTCAGTTAGGTCCTTAATGACCTATTGTTCATTTTAGTGTGAAATGGAAATTAGAAACCACAGTCTGAATGCTAAAGGTGCTCATTTCTACTGGATTCATCTTTTCAAAAGTCTGTGCTAT